CTCCAGAACAAAAAGGGGGTTTCTGGGCCAGGAGGGAGGCGGTTGAAGCTTCCTAGTTTCACCACTTCAATGCCAAGCAAGGAGCCGCACCTGCTCTGAAACGGAGGGGAGGCTACTTTGTCGGCCTGCAGGACCAAAGGTCCCATGTATATGGAAGATACATTCATTATAACTCCCTTGCTCCTCCCTACTCCCTTCCACTCCAGAACAAAAAGGGGGTTTCTGGGCCAGGAGGGAGGCGGTTGAAGCTTCCTAGTTTCACCACTTCAATGCCAAGCAAGGAGCCGCACCTGCTCTGAAACGGAGGGGAGGCTACTTTGTCGGCCTGCAGGACCAAAGGTCCCATGTATATGGAAGATACATTCATTATAACTCCCTTGCTCCTCCCTACTCCCTTCCATCCGGGGATCTCCAAGCACTTTCACGGCATTAATTAAAGAAGTTAATACAGGCCCCAGCGGAGATGGGTCAGGTTGTGCCAGGTGGTGCACAGACACACCATGAGAGGTGGGCCCTGCCCCACACAGCTTGCAGTTTAACATAGATACGGGTGCCCAAAGAGTGGGGGAGAGACTACATTACTGTCCCCAGAAGCACAGAGAGGGGAAGAGACGGCATTTTTAGGCCAATTTTTCACTCTTCCCCAATTCTTTTTGATGAAACCCAGAAAAAAAAAACCCTTTTGGGTTCCCCGTCCCCTTCCCTCTCGCCCTCTGTTGTCAGTGGCAAAGGGGACAAGGGGGAAGGACGTGGAGGGGGAGGGATGGAAAAAGGGGGTGGAGAATAAACACCGGTGAAATGACCGGGGCTCACCCCAGTTTGGGAATAAACAACACACGCGGAGCAAAGCTCCTTCTGAAGTTTGATGCACGCGGGCGCGAGCCCTTTGCAGCCAGCACGACTGCTGGCAGTGACTGCCCTGCAAGCCCGGGGCCAGAGCCTGGGCACGAGCAGAGTTCGAGGGTGGTGTCTAAGGGGGCGCGGGGTTTTCTCAGCCTTCTTTGCGAGGGAGGAAAGCCGGAGGAAAGCAGCGGCGTTATTGGGTTCAGGAGCCAACGCCTCCTCCGCTCCGAGACCCACCGGGATCATAGGAAAATCCATACGGGCTTGTCAAGGCAATTAAGGCAGCTGAATGAGTGCGGGAGAGACATTGCCAGGTTCAATGCCAACGGAGCTAGCGGGAGGCCAGCTACATCTGTGTCAGTGCACTGCTGCCCTCTGCTGCATCCCGGGGGAACTGCTCCCTTCCATGCCACCGGAGTGCCCCACAACCTGCAATATACGCTTATCCCCACATGCCCCTCGGGGTCATGCTCTGATCTGCTTTGTGAGAAACTGAGGCGCAGGGAGGCTAAGTGACTCACCCAAGGCCCCACAACCTGTCCACAGCAGAGCCGGGAACTGAACCCAAATCTCTGCTCCCTGCCTGCTGGAGTGGGGCAGTGACCCTTCCTTTGGCTGCTCAGTGTGAGCTCTTCTGGGCGAGGGCTGTGTTGGATCGAGGCAGGTGCAGACGGTTCCCCAGCGGGCGTTTGTCTGCTGCTATCTGCTTCTTCGGCTGGCTGAGAAGAGAACGTCGTAGAACTGGGGCCTGTTTTTTCACCATGCTCCTTTTTCCCAGCCTGCAAATTCCTCTGCAGTTGTGAGGCCCCAGTTGCACCATGAGCACAGTTGTACTGGACCAGCAGACCAGGGCTGTGACAGCTCCCCCTTTCCTGTTCAACTCACCGGCCACCTCTCGTTTGCTTCCGCACTTACTGCCACGTCCCACCTCTACCGTACCTCGTGCCTGCCCCTGAGATCCCCTACTCCCAGGGGGACAACAGAAATCTTACTTCTGCAACTCTATGCTTCCTATAGAAACACCTTCCAGCAGGCCAGGTGAGCGCGAGCCGCGCCCCCACATTGCTTTGGTCCTGAAAGGCAGCGAATCTTCAAGCATCTCTCTCCTGGTACTAACTTACTGCAAGATGGGATGCCCTACAACACTGCTCTCCGAGCCCTGGTGGGTCATTTTAATTCTCTGCTCAGTGCTGTTGTAGGTCCTGTTCCAGTGCAGGGATACCTCACGATGCTCCTGACCTCTGCATTACGTCGCTCGAGAGCAACCTGTGAACTGGCCACTTTTGCAACTGAAACCACCAGGAATCCAATTGTCAGGAAGACGACCAGTTCTGTGAACCCTGAATGATTCCTTGTGATAAAAAGCCTCAGCTTGGAGAGAACCGTAGAAACCACCCAACACCGCCCATAGATCGCACCATCTACCATCCTGGACCCAGCACCAAATGTCTCCCAGCTTGCGGAGGTGAATACAATCTGATACCAGTCTGCAACCTGCAAAGCTCCTAAGTCCATCTCTACAAAGTCTATCTCCATGTGCCTTTGCCCTCCTACACCTCCTGTTGCGGTGACCCTAGCAACACAACCGATTTCCAAGAGTGCCCTGCCGAGGAATCAGTATGCAACCAAAATGGATGCTTTGCCGAAGTCTGGAAGTCTGCTGTCGATGTTGCTTTTGGAGTTCTTACAGGCCAGGACGATGGCAATCGGAATCCCAACGGGGTTCTGGTGGTGACAGGAGATCACACCCATGATGGCCAAAGGTGAGCCAGGACATTTGCCAATTCTGGTTCTCCATTCATTGTAATTTGACACTGTGCTTTCCACTAGCTCCTAAGCTGAATAGCATCCTCTCGACATCTAACCCGAGTATGGTGGATCTAATCATCCCCATCAGCTGCCCCCAAGTACAAAGACTGTAATATCTAAAGGGAAAATCTATGAAGCCCAAAAAGGAGTTTCTATTTTAGGAGGGATTCATCAAAAGGGTCGTCAGAGGGTATTAGATTCCCAATAGCACAGAACCTGTCCTGCAAACTGAGGATCGGCCACTACCAGGAATGGTTTCTGACATTGTTAGAGTGTTAGGTTCTACCCAAACAGTAGTGAAACACTGCTCAGTGCTCGCTTTGAAGGAGGCATGAGTCTTTATGACTCTTGATTTGTCATGCTGTGAGGTTTGTTCCATATTCCAGAGGACGATGTATGGCATTTTTGGAGAGAGAAGTTACTTTCTTTCCATCCCTTAATCCAGCCGAGTCTAGCATGTCATCCTAAAAAGGTTCAGAGACATGGACTTAGTGACGCATACAGGATAGACAATCTCTTGGAGTGGTATATAACCAAATGTAGTAAAAGTCATTCGTGACACACAAGAGTCTAAAAACAAGCGCAAACTTCAGTCCTTCTTGGGATTGTACGAGTGCTATTCAAAGTTTGTACAGCAGTTTGCTACGAAAATAGATTGTTTTGCGCCATCTCCTAGAAAAGGATGCAAAGTTTGAGTGGCACGTAGTGTGTAAAAATAGCTTTGCCAATTAAATCATGCAATCTCCAGCCGCCCAGCTCATAGAAGCAAACAATTGTTGCAACAGATGCTTGTGAGTTCTTGATTCTGTCTTGACTCAGCTAAAAAAATGGATAACACGTTGCTACTGCATTCAATTCCAGAGCCCTGGCGGATCCAGAAAAAATCGTATTCCTTCTTTGAGCAAGAAGCTCTGGGCAGTAAGACATTTCAGAACCTCTCTGCGGGGGATGAGATGTAGCTTAAGATCTGATCACAACCCTCTTTCAGCTCTATTCCCCATGAAAGGCTCTGGATGAATAATTCCAATAATTGCCAGATGGGCCATGTAACTAATGGACTTTGATTTCCAAACAGTGAGTCTTTCAGGAGCCACGCACATCATTGCAGACTGTCTGTCTCACCTGCCCTTATCAAGAGAGAAAGTCAATGAAGAGTTTGCCATTGCACCTAGCTCTGTTACAACTCGAGGAATGAGCGCAGTCTCGGAGTGGGCCAGAGCCAGGAGGGATGATAAGGTACATTAGGACCTAAAGAGTCTCATAGTCATTGGATGGCCTTACCAGAGGATGCCATCCGCACTCTTGCCACTATGTTGAGATGTACCACTTGAGCTGTCCCTTGTCAATGAGTGCAATGACCGTTTCCTTTTGCCTACGGTTCTGATGGAACAATTGCTGCATTAGGGTCATGAAGGACATGTGGGGAGGAGTCTAGCCAACAATTTGACAAGACTTCCAATGCGCGGGGAGGAACAAGCAAGTTAACATAAGAACGGCCACACTGGGTCTGACCAAAGGTCCATCTAGCCCAGTATCCTGTCTGCCAGCAGGTGCTCCAGAGGGAATGAACAGAACAGGGAACCATCAAGAGATCCCTCCCATGTCACCCAGTCCCAGCCTCTGACAAACAGAGGCCAGGGACACCATCCCTGCTCATTCTGGCTAGTAGCCATGGTGGACCTGTCTTCCATGAATTTATCTGGATTATTTTTGAATCTTGTTCCAGTTCTGGCCTTCATAACATCCTCTGGCAAGGAGTTCCCCAAGTTGAAGAGTTAATCCAAAAGGTCATGGTTTGTGCTGCCAGTGAAAAGTCAGAGAAAATCTTCAACATGCCTCTTGTCCCAGTTGACTATCTCAACACTCCATGGGAGAAACTGGCTCTCAACACAATGGGACCATTTTGAAGATCAGCCTGGTACACCATGGTTTCTCCTAGTCCTGGAAAACTATCATTCAAAGTGGCTGGACGTTCCATTCACTGGAAAGGTGACCTCTGAAACCTTGATTAAGTTCATGCCACCAGTTTCACCCAAGAAGGATTTCGCAAGGAGTTGACAACTGATAATCAAATGCAATTGACATCTGCTGAAATTCAACCCTGGCTCCCCAGCAATGGTATCAAGCACAAAAAGGTTTCTTTTTGTCACCGCAGAGTTAATGGTCTAGAGCAGTGTTTCTCAACTTTTTTTTTTAAAGTACCCCCCTTTACAAAAAATAATAAAAGTCCCCACAGTACCTACAGTTTTCAGACACACAAAATGTTTTTCTACCATTGCCACACGTTTGTTTAAACAACTTAATCGCAGCCGGGCGGGTGATTAAATGTTTGGGTGTAAAAAGTACAAAAATAATAAAATGCTGTAAAACATAAAACAAAAATTCAGTGTTCTCCAAATTTCAGTTGTGTTGACGTAACCCCCCAGACTTCTCTCGAGTACCTCTAGAACCACTCGTCTAGTGGAGGGAATGAACGGACTAGTGAAAGGAAGTTTGCAACTTGGTTGTAAGTGAGACCCTGGAAAGAAGGACCAACAACTGAGTATCGCTCTTTGAACTGTTAAGAGGATGCAAAGGCAATGCATAACTTACTGCCTGTGAAGGGCCTGCATGCTTCTCCCCCCCCCCCACACCCCCCCCAATCAAATCCTGCAATGCAACTATTCGTGACTGTGTTGAGAAAGCACAGGAGAACTGCAGACGCCGTGGGGCTCAGAAGAACGGTGCTACGCCATTTCAGACCAGCGGGTTCTGTTTATGCAAAGCTGTTGTTCGGAGTCAGAAGAAGGACTTTGGGGAGGTTCGTGTCCTTTGCAGATAACAGAAATCCGAGCGGACTCTGCTAGATTAAGGGATGGAAAGAAATGGGACATTTCGAGGTTGTCTGCCACTCCCTCGCCAGCCGCTGGAGAAGAGAATGCTGATTTCCACCTCGGAGCAGAGAGCACCAATGCCACCAATAGTGATGGTGGGCAAGCTACTGCATCTGGGACTTGCCCCACTGCCCGTTTTTGTTCCGGCGTCTCCATGCATGAGAAATGTAAGGCAAAGGCAGCTGCCTAAAAGATTTGGAAACCCTACAGTTGGACTCAAGTCACAGTTTGGAAACGATTGTCTGAACTTTGACTGTGGTTATTTTGTTGGGGAAGGGTGGGTTGTATCTAGCTAGGAGCAGGTAATCACCCCCGTTGGCAAGTCTGCTTCTGGGTGGTTCCTGTAACTCTGAGTCCAGGAATGACAATGCTCAGGATGCCCCAGTGGAGAGCAACGGGCGGGTGGAGAAGGAGGAGAAGACGAATGTGAGCTCTGTGAAAGAGATGGCAATAAACGTGATCTTTGGTGGTTGTTTAGCTTCCCGAGTCTTCTGAGTTCCAGACCAAAAAACATCTCTTCCTCTGTGTGTGTGTGTGTGTGTGTGTGTGTGTGTGTGTGTCTGTCTGTCTGTCTGTCTGTCTGTCTGTCTCTGACTCCTAGCACAGTAAGGCTTGCTTTTGGTTGTGGACTCCAGGTGCTTCTTTGATAATGGTGGGTGTATTACAACAACAATTCAAGGAAGGAGACAACTGCCTTGGCTTATTATTTAAAAGGCACAATAGTAAAAAAAACTTGAAGGAGACTTTCTCTGTTTCCTTGGGCTATTTTCTCGTACGGGTTTTAATTCTCAGACCTGGCACAGCGCTTCCTGGCAAGGGGAATTCATCTCTCAGTCTCTGATCTAATTTTTAAGCTAAAGTGCCTCTGAGCTTGGTAGTATGTACACAGCACCTGTCCGTTCCTGGATCCCCAAAAGCTGGTTAACTTTTTGTGCCAGCTGCCTGGCTCTTTGGAAGGAGTCCATCCCTAGCCTCTTCCTCTTCCAAGTCCTCCAGACTGAGACCTGGAAGTTCCCCCAGGAGCTGGTTCTAGGTGGGTGCCGTGGCCTGAAACATGGACTTGTCCATGTGCAGGCTGATGGGCATGTGAATGGGACCTGTGCCGCGGGCAGGGAGGGGAAGGCTTACAAGGGGTCTGGGTCTTGACGCTGTTCTCTCTCCCGCTCCTTGTGACTAGGAAAGAGAACAGCTGGACCAAGCTCTGTCCGTAACCAGCTGTGCCTGGTGTGTGGTGCGCGGCATAGACCGCCTCGAGAATGGGAGGGAGGCAGAGTTATAGGAGAACGAGAAACCCCCTCTGCTGATCCTACTGACCCTTGCCTGCCCCTTGGCATGTGCCGTGCAGATCCTGGTGGCGTACCGGCGTGTCCAAGCCCTCCAGAAGCTGCAGCCCTGGCCCCAGGTCAGCCTGTCCACCAGCTCTTCCCAGAATTCCCTGGCCAAGACCGAAAGGGCGGCGGATGGCGGCTACAGCGACCTGGACCGCAAGATACTGCAGCTGTGCGGTAAGGGGGGGGGGGCTCTCCCGAGCCCGAGAGGGGCCTCAGGGCAGATGGGGGCCAGCAGGCCATGCAGAATGGGACCCCCATATACGGGATCGTTGCCATTGGCACATGCTCCATCCAGGGACCCTGGAGCTATAGACAGGAACAAGGGCAGGCCCAGAGGAGTCACTGGAGCTGGTCTGGCCCAGCCCCTTTGTGCTACTCAGCCTCTAGAATAGGCAGGAAGGGGGAGGGAGAATGGACAGATGAAGTCCCAGAGACCTTTGCCCCATGGCACTTTCCCACCAGGGGCTGTCAGGTGGTTGGAGGCCCAGTCCAGCTCTGGGCCCTGCTTCCTGGCTCTGCCCCTGTGACTGGGAGACAGCAGGCGAGTTTTTGTCTCACTCTGTGCCTCAGTTTCCACACATGTAAATGGGGACCCTGCCACTGAGCTGTCTCCTGGGGCAGAGGGGAGAATGAAGGAAGATGTGCCCGGCTCTCTGTGGGGAAGCCTGACTCGGACTGGCAGGAGGCTACCCCGGGGGGAGGAAAGGGAGGGGGGGGGGGGGGGAGTCAGCAGCAAGAGGAGGAGGAAGATGTACAGTGCAGGGGTTTCCGGAAGAACTGACCTCCCAGGACAGCCTGTTCCCAGCCTGGTGAGCTGGCTCTGGCTGGGTTAGCTGCGTTGCTACCTGGCCTCTGGAGCAGGCGCGGTGGGGTCTGTGTATTAGGAGCTGTTACTGGGGAGGAAAGGGAGGGGGGGGGGGGGGGAGTCAGCAGCAAGAGGAGGAGGAAGATGTACAGTGCAGGGGTTTCCGGAAGAACTGACCTCCCAGGACAGCCTGTTCCCAGCCTGGTGAGCTGGCTCTGGCTGGGTTAGCTGCGTTGCTACCTGGCCTCTGGAGCAGGCGCGGTGGGGTCTGTGTATTAGGAGCTGTTACTACCTCCCTCCCGCCAGCCCATCGCACCCGCTAACGCGCTCCCTTGTGGCTCTTGCAGGGGAGCTGTACGACCTCGACGCGGCCTCGCTCCAGCTCAAAGTCATTAACTATGTGAGTATCTGGGCCCTTTGCTTTGCCTTCCAGGGAGGGACTGTTCTGCCCGCTCTGCCTCGCAGGGAAACCCAAGGCAGCCTTGCCCTCAGCCTCGCTGGGCCTGTGATAGGGACGTAACAGTGTAGTCGATTAACCGATAAGCAAGAGCTTATAGGTCAATGCTGTAGACTACATGCATTTCCCTCCCCCCCAGCCCTTGCCAGTACATTTTTTAGCAGGCTGGCCAGCAGCCCAGCTCAGTCCTGGCTTGCGTCGGATCTCGGACCTACCCCTGCATTTCAATTGTATTAGGAGCCGGGCAGGCAGGCAGGCAGCTCAACTCAGTTCCAGCTCACACCAGGTCCAGGAGCTCAGACCCCCTGCCTAGACAGGGGCTGCTGCCCCCCCTGTATCAGAGGCATGGGGCGACAGGCAGCCCGGCTGCCAGGGGAGCTGGGGTCTCCTCCCCGGGACGGGGGAGGCTGCCACCCAATGCTGCTGCCTCTGTATCAGAGGCAGCAGCATGGGGCAACAAGCAGCCGGTCCATGAGGGGAGCTGATTTTTTTAAACTGGCTGCCCTTGCGGACCAGCAGGGCCGTAACAAGGGTGAGGCGAGAGAGGCACTTGCCTCGGGCACATAGCTGAGGGGGCACAGAAAAATAATATAGAAAACTAATTATTTTGAGACAGCGTCGCTTCCCTCCCCCACCCATTAGCATCGGCCGGCCCGCAGTTTACATGTCAGGCTGCACGTTGCCGCTCCGCGATCCAACAGTCACCAGCCCTGGCGGCCGCCCACCATGTTAGCTGCTTCCTAGTGGTGCGGGAGGCCGGGCACCGGGCATGAGGTGGGATTGTCAGGCTGAGAACCAGGAGTCCTGGGTCTTGTCCCACCTCTGTCAGGGGAGTGACTCTAGGTCTTAGGGGTATGTGATTAGAGCTGGGGGTCTGGGAGCTACGATCCCTGGATTAGACTTCTGGGTCTTGTCTCACCTTTGCCAGGGGAGTGACTTAGCTCTTAGGGGTATGTGATTAGAGCTGGGGGTCTGGGAGCTACGATCCCTGGATTCTATGGGTCCAGGCCCTTAGCCTGTTGGAGTCATGGTTTCCCCTCCAAAAACCACGGTTTCCCCTCCAAAAACTGGAGCCCATGCTGCTGAGCCGCCTGGGCCAGGTGCTTTGAATGTGCGACACAAACCCAGGGGACAAGGCAGTGACTGCGGCTTCTTGCGAAATAAATTTGCATAAAGTAAAATGAATTAGGAACGACCTTCGAGCATCCAGGGGTCAGGAGAGACGATCAAATACGTCCATCTTATCAATAGAACACGAGGTGGCGAATCATATTCATTTCAACGCAATTATTGATGAGTTTGCCTCATTAAAAGCGCGCAAAGTACAATTATAAACACCTACCTAATAGGACCTGACATGAGGGGGCGCAATTTTATAGTCTTGCCTCAGGCGCAGAATTAGCTAGTTATGGCACCGCAGACCTGCTCCCGCCTGACACCCTGCGCTGCTGCCTCTGATTCAGAGGCATCCCCATGGAATGGCCGGGGCCTCCACAGGAGTGGGGCCGGAACAAACTGGCTGCTGACCCTGCCCCCAGGGACTACAGTCGATTAACTGATAAGAATTCATGAGCTTATTCGACTGGTCAATTAACCGCTATTTAACATCTCTAGCCCATTACTTAGCATCACCTGACTGTTCCTATGCTAATTAACATCTGTGGCCCATTACTTAGCATCACCTGACTGTTCCTAGCGCTGTGCGGATGTTAGCCGTTCCCTGCAGAGCGTCTTGCACACAGGTGGGCTCTGCTGGGGCTGGACCAAGCAGGGGGGGTCGCAGCACAGCAGAATAAGCAGGAAGAGACAGTGGGGATGTTTTATTTATCCATGTTTCTACTGTGCTTATTGCCCTAGCGAAGGGCTGGGATTGAGTGCCCGGGCCAGTCTCAGCAGCTTTGTTTAATTTACCGCCCCACGGATCCCTGTTCTCACTCTTTTGTTTGCAAAGAAACCTCCCGGACAATGTCTGAAGTGGCATCACTAGGCTTCAGAGTGAACAAGCACAGCTCACACCTGTCTCTTCCCCTAGAAGGATTTAGTTCATGTGTGGGCACATTCTGAAGTTTTTCTTTGCTGAAGGGGCCTGTTGTCCAGGCAACTGCGGGTGGTGTTAGAAAGCTGCCAGCAGCCTGCAGCTGTCTGACTTCGGTGCAGGGAGCTCGAGAGAGCTCTCACAAGCTGTCAGTTGGGGCCAGGCTGGGAGCAGCTGGGTGCTGGTGGCTGGAGCACTGGCAGTTTGTGGAGCAGAGCAGCTGGCATGCTGCTGGGGGCTGCTGGGTTGTGTACAGGGGCCCGGCACAGTGATGGCAGGGAGCTGCTTTGGTATTTGGGGGGGCCATGCTGCCCTGGAGGGGAATGAGGAGCTGGTTTAGCATTGGAGGACAATGTGTCAGGCACAGGGACCTGGCACAGTGGCTGGGAGGATGCCATATTGGGTTCAGGGAGCCCCTATGGCATTGGGAGCCACTGGGGGTATAGGGATCTGGCATGGTGTCTGGGGATGGGAGTGAGACGGCCTGGCATTCGGACCAAGCTGGGTGCTAATGATGCTGAAGATAAATACCAATAACCCCCTGGTTATTCATGAACCTATCCAGCTCAGAGTGTCTCCTCCTGCTCCCCTAGATGCTCTCAGGAGATCTGGGGCCCTTTACTGTGCCTCGTAGCCATTACGTGGTGTTGCTGGGAGCTGTTTAACAATGGCCAGGCTGCGCCCCAGAGGCAGCTGCATTCTTATGGTGTCGGGAGCCCACCCAGGACAAGGAGCGGAAAAGGCTTCTGGGCTTGAACGAAAGGAGCAGGCCAGATGGCTCTGCAGGCACGGCTGGGGTCAGGCAAGGAGTGGAGCAGGTGGTGAGAGGCTGTGATTTGCCACAGGGGCTGCCCTAGGCCTGCGCTTGCCAGTTTCTTCCTTTGCAGTCGGAACCGATACTGTTGCAGGCTGCCCTGTAGTCACTGGCCAGCGTGAACCGGTGCAAAACAGGCTTCAGGGACAGAAAGAAGGGAAGCCAGTTACCACATTTGCAATGTGACATTTGAAGTGCGGCTGTTGTTTTAACGCCTCCCTCGGCCCTTCTTCGCTTTCGCTGAAGCGAGTGGTTCGAAGAATCCCCTGTGTGAGTCTCGGGGCTGGTGGCTGTTGTTAGGCAAGTCTGATCCCATTTCCTAAGAGACAAACCTGCAGCAAAGGGCGAGAGCAAAGAACAGCACCGAGAGAAAATGCAGCGTCTGACGCGGGTGTTGACTTTTACTGCTGGAAAAACACAAGCCTGGCACATAGTCCTATCAGCCTCTCGGAGACCTGGCAGACTTGGCCCAGCATTGTGCTCTGGGGTGTTGCTTTTAGCTGCCTCTTTCTGGTCATAGGCTTGCAAACAGGATATAAACTACAGTAAAACTCCAATAGTCCGGCATCCAATTGTACTGCACTCCTGATAGTCCGGTATCAAAATGGCAAGAGTCTAGTGAGTGAGCTTCGGCAAAAAATGGGTCACAAGACAACAGCGGCAGCAGCTGAACCGAGTGAAAAGGGTAAAAAAGGGTTAAAAAAACTATAACGTCACAGTATACTGTATATGGTATGTACGATAAAAAGGGTTAAGAACACTTTATATACGTATATAATGTATACAGTATATATATATAACCAGCTTATAGTACCTCCTGATAGTCCGGCATATCCGATAATCTGGCACCACCTAGGTCCCAAAGGTTCCGGATTATCGGAAGTCTACTGTACTAGCAAATTTACCCAGGCTGTGTCGAGACTGCAGGCTTCTTTCGGAAGAAGCTTTTCTGGAAGAGATCTTCCGGAAAAACTTCTTCTGAAAGAGAGCGTCTACACAGCAAAAGCGCAACAAAAAAGCGATCTGCTTTTTCAACAGATAGCGTCCACACTGAACAGACACACTCACATTTTAGCAGTTATTTACTGTGGATTGAATGGCCACCAGGGCACCTGTGCTTTTTCCTCTTTCCTCTTCTTTCGAAAGAACTCCCTCTTCCCCGTCCACACAAGCCTTTTTCCAAAAGAGCTCTTTCGGAAAAAGGCTTCTTCCTCATAGAATGAGGATTACCAATGTCAGGAAAACCCCTCTGTTCTTTCGATTTCCTTTTGAAAGAATGCAGTGTGGACGTAACTCAAGTTTTTCGGAAAAACTGCCATTTTTCTGAAAAAAACTCTGTCATGTAGACATACCCTCAGCGTTGCTCGGGTCCTTAACTCAACTAAGGGTTGTTTTTTAAAATAGAAGGAAAATGTACATGCTTTGTACACAATTACATTTTTCAAAAATTCAGTGTTCTTTTTATGACGTTAATGTGTATTTGGGATTTCTTAAAAAAAGGGATTGTTAAAACTCTCCCATTTTTTTAATCATTTTTTAAAATCATAATTCCATCAAGTATATTTTTTTTCTCTATCCCTATAAACGCTGATCACTCGCTATGTTTTAACAAAAAAGGGCTCTAGTCAATTTGGTTCCCAATAACATTTTCTTTTATTTTTCAAACCGTAAGCATTGATTTAGCTATGCCAAAACACAGCACTACTCCAAATTTCACCATTTCATCCCATTTCTATAAGGCATATTGAGACGTAATCCTATTCCAAATTCATCCTATTTTTCTGGCTCATCTTGATTCAACATTCACTTAGCTCTTTCAGAATTCACTCAATTATGTCAGTTTTGAGGACTGTACCTGCTTTGGGGATTCTGTGTCTCTTCTATTTGGTTTTCTGAGAAGCAATCCCATTCCCGGCACATCCCATTTTCCTGGCACAATCAAACCTTGACTTTGCTTTAAGTTATGATAAGAGGAAGCTGTAGACTGAATTTGATGGTCCTAGCTCTTACCATGTAGGAGTTCTTGATCAAACAGACAAACTCTCTGAAATATATCGTAGATACAGTGTTGGCTGACTAAGCCACGCTGTGATTAGTCAGGAGGAAAAAGGAGGAGGAAAGAGGGACATCCCAGGGAAAGAAAACTGACTATAATAACAATGAGAACTTGTGAGTGGGAGGGAGTGATAGCTAAGGGTTAGAGTAGGGCGTGTTGGGAAGGGGGATTTGTATGTTCCCTCCCTTGCTCTGGAAGGGAGAACAGCCTAGAGGTTAGAGCAGGGATCAGGATTCCTGGGTTCTCATTCCTGGCCAAGTCACTGCTCTGTGCCTCAGTTTCTCCAGGCATACAATGGGCATAACAGTAGCACCCAGGGATGCCCTGAAGACGAGCTAGTGTCTGTGAGATTGTGGCTGGCATGTGTTACTAAGCGTGGATCCAGGAGCCAGATGGGAAAAAGGCTCTGAGCAGTGTCTGATTTCTGCATAAACTACAGCTGAGGACCTCAGATTATGAGAGGCTTCCAAAAACAAAAAAAATACTAGTTTTAGTTGCATCCTAGCCTATGTACCGGTCTAGATGCAAATGTAAAGTTTTATTATTTCTCTTTTCGTTGTCCTTTCCATTAGAATAAACCACCTTTTTTTGGTAATGCTCTGCTAGATAAATTCATGGAGGTTAAGTCCATAAATGTTAGAATAAACCACCTTTTCTTGGTAATGCTCTATTAAATAAATTCATGGAGGTTAAGTCCATAAATGGCTATTAGCCAGGATGGGTAAGGAATGGTGGCCCTAACCTCTGTTTGCCAGACGGTGGAGAGGGATGGCAGGAGAGAGGTCGCTTGATCATTCCCTGTTCGATTCACTCCCTCTGGGGCATCTGGCACTGGCCACTGTCGGCAGACAGGACACTGGGCTGGATGGACCTTTGGTCTGACCCAGTGTGGCCGTTCTTCTGCGTGGGCGGCAAAGCGGTATGATCATTACACCCAGGCCGACGAGCCCCCGGGCCCAGGGAGCAAGGCTGGGGAGCACTAGCAGGAGGGGGAAAGAGAAACAGGCTCCGGGCAGGGGGGATTAGGGAGTAAAACCAGCGGTCGGACTAGGAGGGCCAGGCAGGCTCTTGCAGTAAAATCAGGGAGCGGCTGCTGCTCGTCCGTGTTTTGCCCTCTGCCTCTGGCCAGGAAAGGGCCTCCCATAGTGGATCCTCCCGGCACGCAGTCAGCACTGGAAAGCAGCCGGCAGGCGAACTCTTCCCTGGCAGGCTGCTGGACACTGAAACCAGAGCCATGAGGGCTGGGCCAGCTGACAGCCCCAGCCTGGCTTCCAAGGGTAAGGTAGGAATGGTCAGAGTGAGCGTGGTGGCAGTGAAGGCTAGTGGGTAGAGCACTGAACCACCAGATAGGAGACCTGGGTTCTGCTCCCTGCTGGGTGCCTTGGGAAAGTCCTGTGCCTCAGTTTCCCTTCCCATGCTGGGTTTTTAGATTGCAGGCTCTTTGGGGCAGGGTCAGTCTCCCACTATGTGTCTGTCCAGCACCAGGCACCATCCCGCAGTGCTACTGTAGTACCCTTAATAAGAAGGGCTGCGACGTGTCCCGGGCCTGTCCACGCAGACAAGTGCCACATGATCCCCTGCCCAGGGCCTCCCACGAGTTGACCTGGCAGACGGCCCGAGCGCTGAGACCGGTTCCCTGCTTCCAGCCCAGGCTGGCTGCTCAGAGAGCCCCATCCCCCACTGGGAGGAGGGCAGGCCCCTGGCAAGAGAGGGAGGCTCCAGCCATGGGGAAGGGGAGATGGGACCCAGTGCAGAGCGATCGAGCTGGGCTGCGTGAGCGGTGTCCATGCTGTGCCCCGCTCTGTGGGCGATGCCCCGGGCTCTCCGTCGGCACTAGAGTCAGAAGAGAAGCAGGGGCCGGTCCTGCTGTTGCCTGCATAGAGTGTGGAAAAGAGAATGAAAAAAAACACTTTCTGGTGTCCTCGGCCCCTTTTTCTCTTGCTGTACGGGCCCAGCACCTCGCCGCAGCCAGGCACAGCCCTTCTGGGGAACCAGGATTCTGGGTTCTCGTCCACCCTCTGCCTCTGACTCCCTGCCTGCCCGTGGGCAAGGCCCACAGGCTGCCGTGCCTCAG